CCTAGAGAAGTAGAAAAAGGTATGGCCCCTTATTTTGCAAGTGTCTTATTTCCTTCAGGAAAACTCAGAAACAACTAAAGTAAAGACCTTTAGAGATACTGGAGCATATTGCTCACTTGTAAGAGAGGGGAATATTACCCTTTCAGAGAATACTTCCTTGAATTCCTCTGTTTTATTGGAAGCATTTGGAGGAGCTATATATTCTGTTCCTTTGTTTAAAAAATTTATGTACAGTGCAAATATTACACTGGTACTTGACTAGGTGCCCAAAAAGGATTCCCCATGAAAGATGCCATGTTATTTACTGGGTAATAACTTACTACTGTTAGTTCGTGCCCTGAACCTATAATGATTAATTCTTCTCCGGTGTTGGCCATAACTGGGCCAACATCCCAAGGGTTGTCTGGAGAGAATGTTGACCTACCCTGGAAGACTCCGATCTCGGAATAGCCACGTTGTTTTATGAGGCACACCGGCCGGGCCCCTGGGTAAATCAAGTGAACAGACCCTGATCAAGCCTTCCTATTCCCAGGTTGCGGGTTTGCCAGATGCCCTCTTTTTTCCATGCCCGAGGGACTGTCCTTCCGGGAGGAACAACAAAAGGGACCCTTTCTTTAAAATTCGCTTTTGAGGCAGCCATGGGTAAATCCTCTTTGGGTCATCCGGTCAAGTATAAAGTTAAAAACGATTATTTGATCTGCACTGGACTGGTAAGGAGATAGAGGGCCGGCAATTGTTTAACAGGTTAGTGGTTCCAATAAAGTATAGACCTCAAATATTAAATATAGCTCATAATACTTCTTAGGAGGTCACTTAGGAATTACAAAAACCTTGTAAGAATCACAAAAGAATTTTATTGGCCAAAATTAAAGAAGATGTGAAGAATCTATTAGGTTTTGCGAAATGTCAGAAAGTTGGGAAACCTGGACATTCCATTAAACCTGCACCTCTCCAACCTATACCTGCTGATGGAGAACCTTTTTGCAGATTTAATTATAGATTGTGTAGGTCCACTACCTAGGTCAAAGTCTGGAAATCAATATTTATTTACGTTTAAATGGATAAAGAAACCCAGATCCCCTGAAGCAATTCCCATGCGTTAGTTTTAAAACTAAAGCTATTCTCAAAGCTTTAACAAAATTCATTTCTTGTTTTGCATTCCTAAAACTATTCAAAGTGATCAAGGTACTAACTTTACTGCCAAAGCTTTTTAGGGAAGTTTTAAAACTGGTTAGGGTTTAATTCACAACTTATCCACTGCCTATCATCCTCAGTCCCAAGGCGCCCTTTGGGAAAGATTTCCCCCAGACATTAAAAAAAATGATGAGGGAAATTTTTGCATGCACTTTTCCCACAGACTGGGATGAATCACTACCTTTGTTTCTGTTCTCAGTACGAGAGACGGTGCAAGAGTCTACAGGTATTTGTCCGTTTGAGCTGATCTTTGGGCACAATGTACGAGGTCCTCTTCGGGTGCTCAAGAAGGATGGATGGGAGAAGACGTTAGCTCAACACTCTACAACCGTCTTCAAGGTTGCAGGTGGCACGTCAGTTAGCCAAGGCTAACCCAAAGACAGCTCAAAGTAAGAGAAACAGAGGTATGACAGAAGTGCACAATTCCGCTCCTTCCATCCAGGAGACAAGGTGTTGGGGCAGGAACCTATACCTGGCCACACCTTGAAAGCTAGATTTACGGACCTATGCAGATTGTAAGTAGATTATCTGATGTAAATTATGTGGTAGCTCCATTGAAAAAAGACCTCAAAAAACTAAAACCCTTTCCACATTAATTTAAATAAAGGCTTTTCATACACCAATAAAGTCCCAGTAATGACTCTGTCCTCTACCTCTGAGGACGACTCTGATTTTTTGCACTCCCATCTCTGAAATTAATATTAAAAATTTCAAATTCTGTCCTCCTCAAGGATCCTAGCCCTTTAATGGAGGGATTATCTGAAACCCAAGCAACAAATTTAACTGACCTTCTACAGTCATATCCTAAAAATTTTTCGGATGTGCCGAAAAAAATGTACGTTAGGTTATCATGATGTAGATGTGGGAAACTCTAAACCAATTAAACTTCTCCCCCTACAGAGCTAAAACCTGAAAAGCAAAGGCTACTTCAGCAGGAAGTAGAATTTTTTTTTAAAGCATGGTTTAGTGGAGGAGTCGTCTAGTCCATGGGCTTCACCGTGCATCCTTGTAAAGAAGGCTGATGGAGGGGTTTTGTATGTGTACAGACTACCGTAAGGTGAACGAGGTCACCATTACAGATGCTTACCCTCTTCCTCGTCTGGATGACGTAATTGACTTTGTGGGTAAGGCTACTTTTGTGTCCAAGTTAGATCTCCTTAAAGGCTACTATTAGGTACCTTTGACGGATAAGGCGAAGGAAATCTCTGCCTTCGTAATTCCAGGAGGTCATTATCAATACACAGTTACCCCCTTCGGAATGAAAAATTCCCCCTCTTCATTCCAGAAACTTATCCATCAGCATGACTCAAGAAATCGTAATGACACGATTGCAAACAAACCATACCCCCGGCCGGGATTGAACCCGCTGTCATAGAGTCTCAAAACTCCAGCCCGTCGCGTTAGCCACTAGACCAGCTAGCCACAATAAGATTCATCCAACTAGGTATATTTCTACACCATAGGAAGGTTAGCACAGGCACCTCTGTGACCACAAATGCAAGTTTTTACAGACGAATCTCCAGCTAGCGTGGCCGTGACAAACTCTAGCTCAAGTCCCTTCACTGCCATCAACATGACTCCTAGTTGGATGAATCTTATTGTGGCTAGCTGGTCTAGTGGCTAACGTGACGGGCTGGAGTTTTGAGACTCTATGACTGCGGGTTCAACCCCGGCCGGGGGTATGGTTTATCCATCAGGTTATTAAAGGACTTGAAGGCACGGCAGCGTACCTAGATGATATTGTTGTGGTGTCTGATACTTGGGATCAACACCTACTTAGACTTAAGGCTCTGTTTGAGACCTTTAAGAGTTCCCATTTAACAGTTAATTTATCTAAATCTTTCCTTTGGCCAGGCCACTGTCACTTTTCTAGGCCATGAAGTAGGTAGTGGTAAAGTTGCACCTAAACTTGCTAAAGTTCTTTCTATTAAAGATTATCCAGTTCCTCATGATAGGAAATCTCTTCAACGTTTCCTAGGCATGATAGGATTTTACAGAAGATTCTGTAAGAATTTCTCAGATATTGTAGCCCCTCTTACCTCTGTTACCAGTCACAAAGTTCCCTTTAATTGGACCTCAGACTGTAACACTGCTTTTAATAAAGCAAAAAGATTATTGTTGTACTGCACCCCTTCTCTTGTCTCCAGACTTCTCCAACCTTTTTTATTACGGGTTGATGCTGTGAGTCTGGGGTTGGGGCAGTCCTATTACAAATCGGAACAAGGAGTTGCAGCCTGTAGCATACTTTTCAGCCAATTCCAGCCACTCAGAGGGCTTAAATCTACCATTGAAAAGAAGCCCTCGCGCTGGTACTGGCTTTGGAGCATTTCGATGTTTATGTGGGCCAGACATCGCAGGTGGTCACGTCTACAAAGGGTCACAATCCTCTAGTTATCTCCAAGCCATGAAGAACCCACAAAATAAGCTTATGCGCTGGACGCTAAGGCTGCAGCCCTATAATATTTTCCATTAAATATATTGCCGGCAAAGAAAATATGTTTGGCAGAATCTTTTTTAGAGTCTAATATTTTTATTTAGGTTAGGGTGTTATTTGTGGTAAACCCCTTTTCACGCTCTTTTTTTTTATCCCCTGGTGTGGGGTTTTTTTTTAGTGAGGGGATGCGGGCTACCGTCCGCCTGTATCTTGGACCTATGGTAGCCCATCTGACTGCTGTCTCACTCTAAGTTTAGGGTTTGCTTTGGGTCACGAAAAAGCTGAGCTCTATCTAAGAGTTGGATGGTGGAGAGGAAAGGCGGTTTCCCCTTATTTTGTGCCATGGCGGCAGGTTACCAGTGGGAGGTGGCAGCCTAATCCTGAGCCTTCTCGGGGTGGGGGTGTGCATGCAAAGAGTACGTAACCTTTATTCAGCGCATGTACACACCCCCATTTACAGGCTATCTCCCCCAACCCGCGAACCAGGTTGCTAAGAGTTGGTGATGGGGCCCCCTCGTTCAACTAGTGACCCGGTTCTAGCCAATAAGAAGATGTTTTGGCAATCGCAGAGGTTAAAGTGGGTACAGCTCTCCTGTGTGCCCTTGTCATTCCCATTCTAGAGCTGGTTGAAGCACGGTCTGCTATCTTGTGGCTTCTATTTCTGCCTTGCTTACCGTGGAGTGCACTATACTTATCACTGTACATAGTGTACATATTGCTGTTCTAAATTGGTGAAGGATAATATAAGTCTAAACTTTTTCTACTGTGTTTATTTTGCTCCCATTACACCCGGGATAACAGGCCATTTGGAATCCTGGGTTGTAATAGAGACTAAGACATGACAGTAGTGATGGTGGCAGTTGTTCAGAGACTAAGACACGACAGTAGTGATGGTGGCAGTTGTTCAGAGACTAAGACATGACAGTAGTGATGGTGGCAGTTGTTCAGAGACTAAGACAAGCCATCAAGTGCTTCCCATTAGTAAAAAAGTGATGATTCTCCACTTACTGTGTGTAATTTATCAATTAAACTTCATCATAGGTATGTATGTAAGTGAGAAACAACTTAGTCGTACCCTGAGTTTCAAACTTTCTTCGTTCCAGAAGGCTATTCAAGTGCCATTACCGAATGAATTTGTTCCCATAAGGAATAATGTTAATTAGATTAGTCAGTTTCAGACCCCAAAAATACACTTACAAAGGCACGGGCAATAATACACTTACATAATTGGTCGAGTTGGGAGCTGTTCAAACCTCGGGTACCACTGTATTGCATATGGTTGGGTACTATCTGTGGTTTTGGGCATCCAGGGTAGGTCTTGGAACATATCCCTCATGGATATAGGGAAACTACTGTAGTCTTTTCATTACAGGTCTATCAGAATGTGGGAGCCAAGATACAAGAGGACCTATCAGAAGCACCGGTGATCATAGGGGTGAAGCAGGTACCCATTGATCAGCTTATACCCAACAGAACATACTGTTTCTTCTCTCTCACTATTAAAGCTCAGGAAGCCAACATGCCTCTCCTTGATGCTATTTTAGAGAACGTAAGATCAGGTAATATTTGTTAGCATTTTTTACCTGGGGAGGGTTAGCAACCCAGGATAACCTGGGGTGGGGAGGGTTAGCCACCCAGGATAACCTGGGGTGGGGAGGGTTAGCCACCCAGGATAACCCAGGATAGGGAGTGTTAGCCAGCCAGGATAATCCAGGGTAAGGAGAGTTAGCTACCCAGGGTAGGGAGTGTTAGCTACCCAGGATAACCCAGGGTAGGGAGAGTTAGCCACCCAGGATAACCCAGGGTAGGGAGTGTTAGCCAGCCAGGATAATCCAGGGTAAGGAGAGTTAGCTACCCAGGATAACCCAGGGTAGGGAGTGTTAGCCACCCAGGATAACCCAGGGTAGGGAGTGTTAGCCACCCAGGATAACCCAGCATAGGGAGAGTTAGCCACCCAGGATAACCCAGGGTAGGGAGAGTTAGCCAGCCAGGATAACCCAGGGTAGGGAGAGTTAGCCAGCCAGGATAACCCAGGGTAGGGAGAGTTAGCCACCCAGGATAACCCAAGAAAGTCAGTGGGTCATCGAGGACTGTCTGTCTTACATATTTCCATTGTGGTCCTTCAATCTTGTCCCCCAGGATGCCCCCCAACACGGCCATTACTGCTAGGTGAACAGTGACAGCAGGTGTAAGGTGACTAACACCCAGGTATCTACTTACTGCTAGGTGAACAGTGACAGCAGGTGTCTTAAGGAAACACGACCTACTGTTTCCACCCGTACCGCGAATCAACCCCCGGGACCTCAGTGTGTGAGCTGAGAAATTCACAGTATTTTGTGTTTTCAGAATATCCGGTTGCTGGACTATGAGCGTATGTGTAACAGGCAAGGCCAGCATGTGGTGGCGTTTGGCAAGTATACTGGAGTTGCTTGCATGATCAACATTCTTAATGGACTTGGTCTTTGTCTCCTAATACTTGGGCATCACACACCCTTCATGGTATGCTACTACTTGGGTATCACACACTCTTCATGGTATGTTCCTAGCACTTGGGCATCACACACCCTTCATGGTATGTTCCTAGCACTTGGGCATCACACACCCTTCATGGTATGCCATTAGAAATACCCCTCCATGATGGGCAATACTCTACTGGCAGTACTGTACTGACAATAAGTTCTGTCAGTCTTATTATCAGTAACTGCTATAATAATACAAATAATTAGCATAATCAGTAAATATTGAATCAGTTGATTCGTACAGCACATTGGACCCGCCCATAATTACCGCAACACAGGATGGCAAGACAGTCAATTCGTGACACTGGCTATGAAATTTCGCTGGGCATGATGCCGAAATCCATTGGTTCTCTGATGTTCATCTTCACGGGCACTGGGAACGTGCCGCAGGGGGCCCAGGAGATAGTTCAGGAGCTGCCCCATGAGTATGTCTCTGTGAAGGCATTGAAGAATTTGAAACTCCTGAACAAATGAACCTGATAGGCATTCAAACTGCTGTACATGGGGTGAGTAATTATGAATGACCTAACTGGTCACACCTCCACCACTAACTGGTCACACCTCCACCACTAACTGGTCACACCTCCACCACTAACTGGTCACAGACTGTACCATGATTACTGGATGAAGGTTCAAACCTACACCACTAACTGGGCACAGACAAAGTTAAATGTTTATTTCAGCTTAATACAATGTTTGTACAGTGATGGGTGACATGATACAATGTACAGTGATGGGTGACATGATACAATGTACAGTGATGGGTGACATGATACAATGTACAGTGATGGGTGACATGATACAATGTACAGTGATGGGTGACATGATACAATGTTTGTACAGAGATGGTTGACATGATATAATGTTTGTACAGTGATGGGTGACATGATAAAATGTACAGTGATGGGTGACATGATACAATGTTTGTACAGAGATGGGTGACATGATACAATGTACAGTGATGGTTGACATATAATGTGTGTACAGTGATGGTTGACATGATGCAATGTGTGTACAGTGATGGTTGACATGATACAGTGCATGTACAGTGATGGGTGACATGATACAGTGCTTGTACAATGATGGGTGACATGATACAATGTACAATGATGGCTGACATGAGACAGTGCTTTTACAGTGATGGTTGACATGATACAATGTTTGTACAGTGATGGGTGACATGATATAGTGCTTGTACAATGATGGGTGACATGATACAATGTACAGTGATGGGTGACATGATACAATGTTTGTACAGTGATAGGTGACATGATACAATGTTTGTATAGTGATGGTTGACATGATACAATGTGTGTACAGTGATGGTTGACATGATACAATGTGTACACAGTGATGGTTGACATGATACAGTGCTTGTACAATGATGATTGACATGATACAGTGCTTGTACAGTTATGGTTGACATGATAGTGCTTGTACAATTATGGGTTACATGATAGTGATTGTACAGTGATGGGTGACATGATAGTGCTTGTACAGTGATGGTTGACATGATACAGTGCTTGTACAATGATGGGTGACATGATAGTGCTTGTACAGTGATGGGTGACATGATACAGTGCTTGTACAATGATGGTTGACATGATACAGTGCTTGTACAATGATGGGTGACATGATACAGTGCTTGTACAGTGATGGGTGACATGATACAGTGCTTGTACAATGATGGGTGACATGATACAGTGCTTGTACAATGATGGGTGACATGATACAGTGCTTGTACAGTGATGGGTGACATTTAGGTGTGCAAGCAGGAAGCCCATAGTCATGCAGAGCATTTTGGGTTCAGTTTACAATATTTTGACTTTACAACGGTTCGACTTACGAGAGTTTGACTTTACGATGGTGTAGTAGCAATTACTTTGGGGATGAAACTTAAGATAATTACCCAACATGAAGGTAACTTGTATTCATTCATTTACTTTTTAATACTGGTACAGCCTCTCCTCACTTAACGATGGAGTTCCATTCATGAGACCACGTCATTAACCCCTAAACAGTCCAAACAGATTGAAATTCAAATCCGTAGTGCTCCAAACGTAGATCTACGTTTTTTTACATATTTTCAAATGGAAAAAAAAAGATCTACATTTTTTTACATACTTTCAAATGTTGAAAAAACGTATATATACGTTTGGACCATTTAAGGGTTAAATGAATTCATCGCTAAGTGACGAGCATATTATAATGGTAGTGTTTGTGTCAACCAGCTTTGATAATTTTTTAATGTCGTCTTTGCACCATTTATAACATTTCGGTAAATTTTTACACATACAGCAGCGTACTGTATATTGTAATAAACAGAAGAGAGGAAATCAGCTCTAATATACATTATTTAAGTATGGATACTGGTCAGAGAGCCCATTGTAAGTCCAAGGCATCGGTAAAGGAGTACGTTGCTAAGTGAGGAGAGGCTGTATTTAGTTAGTTACAGTAATTATTTGTTTATTTACTGATTCAATGACAGTAGTTATTAATTTGTTATTTATTTAGCATATCATATTTATATTTTCCTATGATATTTTCAACTTACGATGGGTTCGTTAGAACATAATCCCATCGAAGAGTCAAGGATCACTTCCTGTGCCTTTAACAGTGATGTTTCTACTGTTGGTGTAATTCTAAACTTTTGATCATGTTGGTGCTTGAAAATAAAGACTGGGTGAGAGTTTTGTTTGTAAGAATTGTTTTAGCATATAAATAATAATCATAGTAAATAATAATCATTCTTTTCATGCAATACATGTACATTAAATCTTGTCAATACAAACACCTCAGAATCACGTGAATTATCTATAATATTCAATTATAGAGGTAGTCTTCAACTTAGAACACATTGGGGGACTATTGCTCTGTATTGTGTATAATAATGATAATATACACAATACAGCTAGCCCTCCACTTCACGAGCTTCAAATAATCGCAAATCCCCAGCCGCCCAATCATAAATTTTTATTAATATATTATTAACACACTGGCCTATTCCACCAAGGCAGGTGTTGGGCCCAAAAAAGAAAAACTTTCACCCATCCCCATCACCTCCATCACTGTCATGCCAGAAGGTGCGTTAAACAACTACAGTTTTTAAACTGCAACATTAACACCCCTCCTTCAGAGTGCAGGCACTGTAGTTCCCATTCTCCAGGACTCAAGTCCGGCTGCCGTTTCCTGTATCCCCTTCATAACTGTTACTTTGCTTCACACTCCAACACACGTCAAGAATTAAAAACCGCAATTTGTCCACCATTCCAACTCCTATTCAATCATGCTCACGCATGCCTCTGTAAAGTCCAATGCCCCTCGCACTACAAAACCTCCTTTAAACCCCCCTCCCCTCCAACCTTTCCTAGCCGACCCCTACCCTCCTTCCTTCCACTACAGACTGATATCACCTTGAAGTCATCTGTTTTTGCTCCATTCTCTCTAAAATGTCCAAACAAACGCAACAACCCTTCCTCAGCCCTCTGGGACAACAGTTTTTGGGTAATCCCCACCTCCTCCTTAACTTCCAAACTACGAATTACTCTCTCATATATTTCACTCCAACACATTGCCTCATACATGACATCTCCACTGCCTCCAGCCTTCTCCCTCACTGCAAACATTATCACCCATGCTTCACCACCCATATAAGAGCGTTGGTAAAACTATACTCTGCATACATTCCCCCTCTTTGTCTCCACAGACTGCCTAATGCACCGCTCACATCCTTTTCCCCTCATCAATTCTAATGATTTCACCTCATCCTTCATTCATAGACCCATCCACGACACGTCCCACCTCCCAAATATCTGAATACATTCACCTCCTTCCATACTCTCTCCCTCCAATCTATATCCAATCTTTCATCACCTAATCTTTTGTTATTCCTCATAAGCTTTACCTCTTCCTGTATCACTTTTAATTTTCTTCTTTTGCATACCCTAAACCAGTTCATCCACCAACCTCTGCAACTCTCTTCAAATCTCACAAGAGCCGTGTCATCAGCAAAGAGCAATCTGTGCAACTCCCACATTTATGTGTGATTCATTTATCCCTTTTAACATCCACAACTCTTGCCAAGACCCTCGCATTTACTTCTCTCACAACCCCATCTATAAATGTATTAAACAAACCATGGTGACATCACACATCCTTGTCTAGGCCTACTTTTACTGGAAATAATTTCCCTCTTTCCAACATACTCTAACTTGAGCCCACTATCCTCGTAAAAACTTCACTGCTTTCAGTAACCTACCTCCTACATCCATACACCTGCAAAACATTGCCCCCTAACCACCCTGTCATATGCCCTTTTCCAAATTCCATAAATCCACAAAAGACCTCTTTAACCTACTAAATACGTTCACTTACATGTTTCACTGTTAAAAACACCTGGTCCATACACCCCCACCTGATCCTAAAGCCACCTTGTTCATCTGCTATCCTATCACCTCATACTCTTAATTCTTTACAATAATAATCTACCATACACTTTACCCAGGTAACTCAACAGACTTCTCCCCAATAATTTTTTGCACTCCTATTATGTTCCCCTTTGCCTTTATACAAAGGAATTATGCATGCTCTCTGCCAATCCCCATAGTACCTAACCCTCATCCATACATTTATTAAATAATTGCAGCACCAACCACTCTAAAACTATATCCCCACCTGCTTTTAACTTTCTATCTTTATTATCCCACAATCCCCGGCGTGCCTTACCTACCCCCTTTCATTTTAACCTACTGCCTCTCACGAAACTCCCCCACACACACAACTGCTCTTCCTCATCGTCCTACAATATGTTATCCTCCTTGCCCTATACACAAATCACCAGCTTCCCTTTCTTCATCAACATTTAACAATTCCTCAAAATATTCCCTCCATCTTCCACAATACCTCAAACTCTCCATTTTACTAACTCTCCTCTCCTATTTTTAAATGACAAATCCATTTGTTCATCTAGGCTTTCCTTAACATGTTAATCTCACTCCAAAACTTTTCTTTTTCAACAAAATTGTTGATAACATCTCACCCATTCCAGTCTCTCATTTGCTTGCTTTTTACAATATTTTATGAAGTTTTCATGTGTTTTATATTGTTTCGTGTTTCAATATGTTAAGGAACAATAATTGTTAGGCTAAGTAATGCTTATAATGTATTTCACTCAATATATTTTGCACATCAAAACATTATCAAAAACACACATTAGTTAATTAATTTCCCTACATCATATATAACACCAAGCATTTGCGACTTTTTAAGATTCGCGGAGGTTCTTTATCCTCAACCCATGTGGAATATGAAAGGGCCTCCTGTAATGATAAATGATACACAAGATTCTCAATGAGTTTAGTAAGTCCAAGGACTAACTGGGACAAGTTATACAGACCATAGCTGACATCAGTGACATACTACTATGTATATTAGAAAATCCCTTGTTATGCAGAGCATTACCTGCCACTACTTGGGTTACTGCATTTTTTTGCGGCATATTCGACTCATTTTTTTTTTCCATAAAATGTCCTCTATAAACCGACCCTACCTTCATCCTATAAACTGATGGTCAGTGACCTGAGGCGGGTTATTTGTGTATCGTTGCCAGTCACAGTATTGTGCCTTTTTTTTTGTTAATTTGGGGTGTGGGGTGGGCTGTAGCTCTCCAGTTATATCCAATGCTGAACCAATGAAAGAAAACAAATACATAAGTTGTGAAATACAGTAATTTTGTCCTCAGGATGCGACCACACAAGGTGGGATTACTGGGTAAAGGCTCAAACTTTCATCACTAACTGTTTATAAACCATGCCATG